AAATAAAAAATAAAAAAGTAAAATATACAAATTAATTTAAGAAAAAAAAATGGATTTGCTGCCCAGCTGCTAGGAGTGCTGTCAGAAGATAATGTGCGGCTGTCAGTCTGTTAGGAATTGTCTCAGCTACGGTTACCTTACCCACAGTCACAATCTTCCTGGGTTGTGGATCCAATAGGATGGGGTCCTATATTCAATGGGTGATTGAAGCAGAGATATATAGGCCCAGCCATTTCATTTCAGTAAAGGACAGTCTGATATTGTTAGGCAGAATAATACCTTCTCCCAAACATAATCACATTCCAATCCCTGGAAACTGTGAATATATTATATTATATGGCAATGGAGAATTAAGGCGATTGATAGAAATGTGGTTGCTAATCAGCTGAATTTAAGACCAAGAAGTTATCCTGGATTACCTAGGAGGTTCCAGTATACCCACGAGGGTCCTTTAAAGCGGAAGAGGGAGGTAGAAAATGGAATCAAGTCAGAGAGAGGTTTGAAAATGCTATTCAGCGGGCCTTGAAGATGGAGGAAGGAGCCATGAGTCAAGGAAGGCAAATTGCCTCCAGCAGCTGGAAAAGGCAAGGAGGTGATTCTCTGTCACCACCTCCAGAACATACATGTTCGTGCCAACACCTTCAATTTAACTCTGTGAGACTCATTTTTGATTTATGCCCTCTAGAATTGTACAATAATAAATTTGTGTCAGGTTAGGATAATACATTTGTGTTGTGGTAATTTTTTTTATTGCATTTTAGGTTTTGGGGTACATGTGAAGAACATGCAAGATTGTGGCATAGATACACTCGTGGCAGTGTGATGTGCTGCCTTCCTCCCCATCACCTATATCTGGCATTTCTCCCCATGCTATCTCTCCCCAACTCCCCACCACCCGATGTCCCTCCCCTATTTCCTCCTGACAGACCCCAGTGTGTGAGATGCTCCCTCCCTGTGTCCATGTGTTCTCATTGTTCAGCACCCACCTATGAGTGAGAACATGTGGTGTTTGATTTTCTGTTCCGTGTCAGTTTGCTGAGAATGATGGTTTCCAGGTTCATCCATGTCCCTACAAAGGACATGAACTCATCATTTTTGATGGCTGCATAGTATTCCATGGTGTATATGTGCCACATTTTCTTTATCCACCGTTTACACTCCCACCAACAGTGTAAAAGTGTTCATATTTCTCCACATCCTCTCTAGCATCTGTTTTCTCCAGATTTTTTAATGATCGCCATTCTAACTGGCATAAAGTGGTATTTCAATGTAGTTTTGATTTGCATTTCTCTAATGACCAGTGATGATGAGCATTTTTCCATATGTTTGTTGGCCTCATGTATGTCTTCTTTTGTAAAGTGTCTGTTCATATCATTTGCCCACTTTGGAATGGGCTTGTTTTTTTCTTGTAAATCTGTTATAGTTCTTTGTAGATTCTGGATATCAGCCCTTTATCAGATGGGTAGATCACAAAAATTTTTTCCCATTCTCTTGGTTGCTGATTCACTCTAATGACTGTTTTCATTTGCTGTGCAGAAGCTGTGGAGTTTGATTAGGTCCCATTTGTCTATTTTGGCTTTTGTTGCCAATGCTTTTGGTGTTTTGGTCATGAAGTCCTTGCCTATGCCTAAGTCCTGAGTGGTTTTGCCTAGGTTTTCTTCTAGAGTTTTTATGGTGTTGCATGCTGCTAGTGACTCCACAGTTCTGGGGTCCTGGAAGTGGTCCTGGTTCCACAGCTCCACTGGGCATTGCTCTGTTGGAAACTCTCTGCAGCAGCTCTGACCCCACATTTCTGCTTAACACTGCCCTAGTTGGAGCTCTCTGCAGTGCTCTTCCCTTATTACAAGTTTTTGCCTGGACTCGGGTTTTCAGCAAAATTCCTTTGACATCTAAGTGGAGGCCCCCACACCTCCACTGCTCTTGATTTCTGCAAATCTGAAGAATTATAATAGAACCATATGGATGCCATTAAGGCTTATGGCCCTTAACTTCTTAAGTGGCAGGTCAATTCACACCTGGAGCTGCTTGAACCACAGATGGCATGTCTAAGAAGCACTGTACCAGAATCTGGGAAGCAAAGACCTGAGAGAGCCCTGGGCAGCAAGCCCATGAAAAGTGCCTTGGGTCTGTCTCCTGAATCCATTCTGTCCTCCTGCCTCTGGGTCTGTGATGAGAGGGGCAACTCAATGTTCTCTGAAATGCCAGTAAAGGGAGAAAGTATCACCAAGAGAACCAAAGACCTCTTTCGTTCTCTTGATACTTTCTCCCTTTACTAGTCTCCTTAGCAAGAGGTTGCTGGACTACGCTCTTTGGTTTCCTCTCCCAAACACATCTTTTCACTCTTTACATGGCCAGACTAAGAATTTTCCCAGTCTTTCCACTTTGCTTCTCTTATGATTATAAATTCCCTTTTTAAGGGTTTTTTTCCCCTCTCACAGCTGATGTAAGTGGTTGAAAGTAGCCACGCAGCAGCCTGAATGCTTTACTGCTTAGATATTTCTTTGACCAGATACCCTAGTTTATCTCTCTCAAGTTCAGCCTTCCACAATGCCCTCAGGCATAGACACAGTTTATTCAAATTCTTTGCCAATTTATAACAAGGATGGCCTTTACTCCATTTTCCAGCTTGTTCATCAGTTCCATCTGAGACCTTGTCAGAATGGCATTTACTGTCCGTAGTTCCATCAGCATTCTGATCATGACCATTTAATCAATTTCTAAGGAGTTCTAAACTTTCCCTGTTCTTCTTGCCTTCTAAGCCATTTCTGTAACCTAGGCTTTTTCTAGATTGCTGCTTCATTCTTGTAGCCTCTGCTCATTATCCAGTTTCCAAGCTGCTTCTATGTTTTCAGGTATTTGTTGCTGTTAACACCCCACTCTCAGTACTAATTTCTGGTCTAGCCCATTTTCTGTTGCTTAGAACAGATGACCCGAAACTAGGGTGATTTATAAAGAAATGAATTTATTTCTTAAAGTTCTGGAGACTGAAAAGTCCAAGGTCAAGGGGCCACCTTGCTGGCAGGGCAGGGCATCATGTGTCAAGGAGGCTGAGCCTGCTAACTCAGGTCTCTCTTTCTCTTATAAAATCACTAGTCCCACTCCCATGATAACCCATTAACTCAATAACCCATTAATCTACAATGTCAGTGCCCTGAAATCTTGGGAACTTAGAGAATTATAAAGAAGTAGGACTAGGTGGATGGGGTGGAGCAGGGAGAAAGAGGGCAGAGTTCCCTTCCCTCTGACCTGGCAGATGTTCCCCAGACATATGAACTTGTTCCAGTTATCTATTGCTGCATAACAAACCACCTCAAAACTTGATGGCTTAAAACAACAATTCTTAATTATTAACTTCACAGCTCTGGGGGTTGGTTAGCCAGTTCTGCTCAGGGGCTCTAATGCAGTTGAAGCATCCAATGCTCACGTCTGGCACCTAGTCTGGGAAGATTCAAAGATCCGGGGGCTAGAACAGCTTTAGCTCTTTGGTCATCCCTTTTCTTTTTTCTTTACGTGGTTTCTCTGCATGCTTTCTCCAGCTTCAGGGTAGCCAAACTTCTTTTCAGGAAGCTCAGGGCTTCAAAGGTATGTGTTCCAAGGGAGAGAGCCAGTGGAATCTGCATTGCCTTTTCTAACCTAGCCTCAGAAGTCAAGGCAGTCACAAGTCTAGTCAGGTTTAGGGGAAGCAACAGACTCCACTTCTTGATGAGGGATGCACCAAAAAATCTGTGAACATATTTTAAAACCACCAGAGAACTTCACAGGCCTCTGGCAGAAAATCTAGGACAGAATAATGAGTCATTCACTAAACCACAAATTGCTTCATTGTGGTTCCCCTTTGGCTATGGGGGAATAGTGCAGTGTTAAAAGGCTCCTTCTCTGGCGTTAGGCTGCCTGGGCTTGCCTCTGCCCTGACACTTATTAAACCTGGAACCTTGACCAGGTCTTGGTACCTCAGGTTTCTTATCTGTAAATTGGGAACAATGAGAGCTAACATTTGTTGAGCACCTAGTACGTGTGGGACACTGTCCTAACTGCATTATGCATGTTATATGCAAGATACCTCTGTGAGGTATTTATCTATTAATACTTCCTAAGTCGTAGGATTGATAGTAAAAGAGGCATCTTTCAGGTCTGTAGTGTGGATCAAATGAGACCATCTCTTATGTTTGCTCTTGGCATTACTAAAGCTGTTGGGGACAAATTCTAGTGATCCCTAGCCAGTACAGTGAGCCGTTTCCAGAAACGGACCCAACGTGCACAATGCCACACAGGACTGCAGACTGTTTCCAGTACAGAGTGGAAGCCAAGATCAGGGCTGCGAGGGCCAGGTTTCTTGACAGGTGTCAAAATTTCATAAAAAGGCCAGTCATTCAGGTTCTCACTAGGTGATAGGGGTACAAAACTTGGAACATTCCTGGAAAGTGAGATGACAAGCACCGTTTTGAGTTTGCAGAACGGGAGTGTTGATGGTTTTTCTGGAAAAGGAATCCACGACTCCAGGCGGTCGGAGGAGTTCCGTCAGGAGAACACCCGCCCTCTGCCTGAGGCGTCCCCCAGTGTCCGGGGCCCGCGTCGTGGCCAGATGCACGATGCCGACACCCTTCCCGGGGCCCTCCAGTGTATTCTGCCTCCTCTCGCGTTCCCGTTGCCACCCTTGGCTTCCTGACTGTTCCAGCCACCTTCCCCTCCTCCCTCTTCCCTGAGGTGCCCACTCGGGCGATTCCAGGGCGCCCATCTTCCCAGCCCGGGCAAAACCCGGAGAGGTGGAATCCCTCGCCCGGAGCGCTCCGGCGGCCACTGGGCATGCTCCGTTGTCAGGCAGGTTCTGGGCTGCAGGGAGCTTGCGCTCCCGGCGGGTTCCTGCAGCGGCCGCGCGTCCTCCTCCTCCCAAGCAGGGAGCGGGCGCATGATGGCGGCAGCGGCTGCGGGGAGCGCCAGCAGCGGCGGCGGCGGCGGCAGCAGCAGCGACACGTCCAGCACCGGCGAGGAGGAGAGGATGCGGCGCCTCTTCCAGACGTGCGACGGCGACGGGGACGGTTACATCAGCAGGTACGCGGGGAGGTACCAGAAACTGGGGCGACATCAGCCCCTCCGCGCGCCCTTGACCCCTGCTCTGCCCCCTCGCCCCAACTTGCCGCAAGTTGCTGAGAAGCTCGCGGAAAAAGTTGGCCGCGACTCCGAGAGCGCGTTGCCGGCTCAGCCACCAAGGCCGAAGGGCTGCTCTGCTCGCCTTCTGGGGGTGCCAGTTGGTCCAACTTTTCCCAGCGCACTCTTTGTCTAGGCGTTGGGAGATATCTCCTTAGGATGCGCACTCTCCCCTGGCCCTGAGCGTTGCTCCCTGTGGGAAAGGTGTTCTGGCTGCTTTTCCCAGGTAGGAGAGGCTGCCCCACAGCCTCGGGGTCTGGGCGTCACGATGCTGCGGCAAGGGGCAGCGATCTGCCCGGCTGCTCGGCGGACAGCCCGGGGCCGCACCGGGAGGAGACGCGCGCTCAGCGGCAGCCCTGGACGTGGAAATAACCTGCGAAGAACTTTCTTGTGCCTTAGAACCCCTGAGTTCCAAACTTCAGAGCCCAAAGAATGGGCATCGTTTGCCACCTAGTATTGATTTAAACACACTAGCCTGAGGGGAATGAAGCGCTCAGGAGCAAACTGGGGCTAGACCCGACTCCTACCCAGCTTTGTGCGCTGACCAGGTGAACCTCGCGGGGTGGCTCCGGGCGCCTCAGCGCCTCCATTCCCAAACAAACTTTGGGGTGTTTGCTTCGGATCCCACAGACCCTCTACAGGGGCAGTGTTTAAGCTTCGTGCCTCCTGGCTTGGCCAAATAATTACTTCTGGCAAAATTTGTGTCACTTAGACTCTCTTGGTGAGGAAGGCAATGGTAGCGTTTTCTGGTATGCTTCTGTGAAAGTTGACACTGGACACTGAAGACTTAGGATCCGTGGAAATTTGAATTGCCTTGGATGAAGGGGCAGCCAAAGCTGTGCATTACGCGTTTCTTTAGTCTTTGTCTTGGTGATGCTAAAGAGCGTTTCTGATTGTCCTGATTGTCCCTGACTGTTCCTGTTCCTGATTGTCCCTGCCTACCTAAAAAAAAAAAAAAAAGTACCAAATTTTTCCCTTAAAAATTTTAAAAAGCTCTCTTAAACAGGTAATTTAACATGTAAGAATTTGCAATTTCAAATAATTATTTGGGACTCAACTCAATTTTTATCATTCTTAGGTGAATTTTTATTACTTTTCTGAAATTTTACTGAGAAACTTTAGAAAGATATCAGAAAACTTGATGGAGTAATTCTGCTCGGAAATGAAAATAATATGTAATTCTGATTGACTCCATGCAAGTTTTTATGAGGAAGCCTTTCCATATTTTGGTTCTGAGATTTAAAAAAATTTTTCATTATACAGTTTTTTTGTTGTTGTTTTCCTGCTTGAAAGGTTATTATCTTATTTGCAATAATAAAAGAAATCTCCATTCAACTTTGAATGCAATTTTGTTTATTTATTTATTTTGAAACAGAATCTTGCCCTATCATCCAGGCTGGAGTGCAGTGGTCTGATCTTGGCTCACTGCAGCTTCCGGCCTCCTGGTTCAAGCAGTTCTCCTGCCGCAGCCTCCCAAGTAGCTGGGATTACAGGCACCAACCACCACGCCCTGCTAATTTTTGTATTTTTAGTAGAAAAGATGCTTCACCATTTGGCCAGGCTTTTCTCAAACTCCTGACCTCCAGTGATCTGCCTGCCTCAGCCTCCGGAAATGCTAGGATTTCCGGCCTGAGTTGCTGCTCCCGGCATGGATGCAAAAAACTTTGATTTCTCACTGGCAAGAGTGCATATAGAAAACTAGCAGCATGCTATCCTCCTTTTCTAATTTGGCCTATTAATATGTTGCTTTATCTGAACTGTACTTTCTGTATAGATACTAACATTATTTTTGGTAATCTACCCTGGAAGATAATGAATTCTGTAAGCATAATTTAAAAACTCTGTTTTGGAGGGTGAGGCATTGTGTGTGTAAGTGGATGGTGATAAAGAAGCCGTTTTGGATTGGAGTAGAAACTGGCTGGGGCAAAAGTGGAAAAAGTTGTTAACATTCCTTGAGCCACATGAATGTGTCTGCTTAAAAGTTTCAAGGTGGGCCGGGCGCGGTGGCTCAAGCCTGTAATCCCAGCACTTTGGGAGGCCGAGGCGGGTGGATCACAAGGTCGAGAGATCGAGACCAACCTGGTCAACAGGGTGAAACCCCATCTCTACTAAAAATACAAAAAATTAGCTGGGCATGGTGGCGCGTGCCTGTAATCCCAGCTACTCAGGAGGCTGAGGCAGGAGAATTGCCTGAACCCGAGAGGCGGAGGTTGCGGTGAGCCGAGATCGCGCCATTGCACTCCAGCCTGGGTAACAAGAGCGAAACTCCGTCTCAAAAAAAAAAAAAAAGTTTCAAGGTATATGTAGTGATGAACCCTAAATCATAACTTTAACTGTGGGTGGAGCTTCCCTGGAAATTAGGCTGTGGCAGAATTAGGAGAAGTTTAGAGATGGCAATCTAGGGCAACAAGGAACTTGTCTGGAAGTGTGTTTACCTGGTAAGCACAGCTTTACCTGGAATTTATGTTTATGTGGTATGACTTGGGGAATGGGGTTAATGAAGATAAGGGGCATTAAATGATTCCCTCTCCGAAGTCACTTTTCTGTGCTGCTTTCGTTTAGTGACCTGTACTTGCCACTCTGTAGTGGGTGATATGGTTGGGAGAGTTGTGCATTTTCTGTTTTATCAGGCATGAGAGTTGGACTTTTTACATTAAAACCTTAAAAACTTTGTATTCATCCAGAGGCGTTAAGTTTATGTTTATGGTAGACAGCTGTATCTGTTAGGATTTCAGATGACTATATGTCATCACAGTAACCTAACCACAGTCAAATAAGGGTTGGCTTTCTCACCTACTGGAAATCTGGAGGTAGGCTATCTAGGTTGGGGCAGCAGCTCTGCAGTGGTGTCAGTGCCCATCTACCTTCCACTTTTCTCCAACACCATTTTTCACATAAACCGTTCATCCTCATGATTATCTCATAGTCCAACAATGATTGCCCTGTCTCCCTCCTATCCCCAAATTCTAGGGAAGAAGATGTAAAAGGAAATGGAAATAAGTGGTGCCTATATCATTAAAGCAGAGCTTTCCCAAATCCTTTAATTGACATCTTATTGGTCAAACTACATCACCTAACCGGGCCTACTGCAATAGAGTCTGAGGAAGCATGTAATTCAACTAGGCACATTACTCCTAAACAAAATCTGGGTTCTGTTACTAAGAGCAGGAAATAGATATTGGATGGGCAAGTAGCAGTTAATACCTATAATAATTCCCCCATCCCACCATGATAATCCACGTTCAACTATATTTGCTCTGGTCCTCTGCCTAGCCCTCATTCTAAACAGGAGTAGGCTGGAAATTTTAAGTTTAAGGGAAGGATAAGTGGAAGAGAAACTGGGCCATGAGGGGAAATGTCAGGCAGATAAGGGGTGGTGCTTTGTGCTTTCAACATTCTCTTGTCTCAGTCTTTCCATCAGGCTGACAAAAAAAGGCATCAGCTAACTAGATTCTTGGAACTCCTGCTTCTGCCAAGGAACTTTAGCCTGTAAAAGGGACCCAGAATCATCCCCATTTATAGTTAAGATGGAGCAGAAAGCTATGATCAAGTGGCTCCAAACTGTGACTGGGACCCTGCTGGATTTGGGCAACACAGTGAGATCACAGTAAGCTCTTTCAGTGCATTTCATTAACCTTACAATGACTTTACCCCATATTTTATGGTACTGGATTTTTTGGACCCTGTATATCATACTATAGAAGGTGGTAGAGGTTGCTCTATTTGTTGAAATTATTTTTCCTTTGGAATTTTAAAGCTTTTTGTTTTTATTGTTCAATATAAGAAACTGCTTATGTTGAATATATCTTTGACAAATGTTGAAAACCAGCACTTATATATTGAGTTCCCAAGTCTCAGTTCAAATGTTGATGCCTTAGAGCTTCCCTGACCACTATATCAAAACAGGTTTGCTTTATCCTGCCATTGTTGTCCATCCTAGTACTGATTACTTTCTTTCAAAGTGCTCTTTACAACCTACAGTTGCATTTCCGTTTCCTACTTTGCCTGTTTATTATCATTCTCTCACTAAATTTATTCTTCCTGAGGGCAGATATCATGTCTGTTTTCTTACAGTACACTCAGTGCTTAGCACAGTATCTACCATGCGGCACACAATCAGCAAATTCCGATGCAAAAGTGGCCAAGAATAAACAGTGGTATGCTCATGTATATTGGAAAATGTTTCAAGCATTTTCTTTTCCAGATATTGTTCACATTTATGTAATATTAAAAAAAATTTTTTTTTTTACTTTTATTTTAAGCTCAGGAGTACATATGTAGGTTTGTTACATAGGTAAACTTGTGTCATGGGAGTTTGTTGTATAGATGATTTCATCACCCATTCCTAGTACCCATTAGTTATGGGTACTAAGGCTAGTACTCATTAGTTATTTTTCCTGATCCTCCTCCTCCTCCCGACTTCCACCCTCTGATAGGCCCCAGTGTGTGTTGTTCCCCTCTATGTGTCCATATGTTCTCACCATTTAGCTCCCACTTATATGTGAGACCATGTGATATTTGGTTTTCTAATTCTGTGTTATAGTTTGCTTAGGGTAATGGCCTTCAGCCCCATCCATGTCCCTGCAAAAGACATGATCTAGTTCTTTTTTATGACTGCATAGTATTCCATAGTGTATATATACCACACTTTCTTTGTCTCCTCTTTCAACAATGGGCATTTAGGTTGGGTCCATGTCTTTACTATCGTGAACAGTTCTGCATTGAACATATGGGTGACGTTTCTCCAAGGAAGACATAGATATAGCAAGATGCTCAGCATCATTAGCCACTAGGGAAAGGTAAATTAAAACCACAGTGGGATTCTACTTTACACCTACCAGGAAAGCTATAACCAAAAAGTCGGATAATAATAAGTGTTGACAAGGATGTGAAGAAACCAGAAC